TTTAGTTTGCTTTTGTTTTAGGTGTGGTTGTTAATAACTGTGAGTTTGCTCTCCTTTCACTGTTCATCTTCTTTATCTTCTTTTTCTTAGGTAAGTCCCTTTAACATTTCATATAATAAGGGCTTGGTGATGATGAACTCCTTGAATTTGGTCTTATCTGAGAAGCACTTTATCTGCTCTTCCATTCTAAATGAAAGCTTTGCTGGATAGGTCAATCTTGGTTGTAGGTCTTTGGATTTTATGACTTGGAATACTTCTTTCCAGCCCCTTCTTGCCTGTAAAGTCTCTTTTGAGAAATCAGCTGACAGTCTGATGGGCATTCCTTTGTAGGTAACTGTCCCCTTATCTTTTGCTGCTTCTAGGATTCTCTGCTTCATTTTAATCTTGGCTAATGTAATTATGATGTGCCTTGGTATGTTCCCTCTTGGATCCAACTTCTCTGGGACTCTCTGAGCTTCCTGGATTTCCTGGAAGTCTATTTCCTTTGCCAGATTGGGGAAGTTCTCCTTAATTATTTGTTCATATAAATTTTTCACTTGTTGCTCTTCCTCTACCCCTTCTGATATCCCTATAACTTGGATGTTGGATCGTTTAAAGATATCCTGGAGGTTCCTAAGCCTCTCCTCATTTTTTTAAATTGTTGCTTCTTCATTCTTTTCTGTTTGGTCATTTTTTTCTTCCTTCTGGTCTGCTCCCTTGATTTGAGTCCCAGTTTCCTTTCCATTACTATTGATTTCTTGTGTGTTTCCCTTCATTTCAATTAGTTTAGCCTTCATATATTCCTCTAATTTGTGACTAAAATCAACCAGTTCTGTGAGCATCCTGATCATCAGTGTTTTGAACTGTGCATCTGAATGTTTGGGTATTTCTTCATCGCTTAGAGTTATTGGCTCTGGAGCTTTGAGCTGTTCTTTTTGAGCCATAATGTTTTGCTCTGTTCGTGCCTGTTAGGTATGAGGAGCAGAACCTTATATGTTCACCAGGGTGGGGCCACTCAGGTTGTTGGTTTGTGACTCTGTATGTAGGGGTGGAGTCGGAGAGGGACAATAGCAGTCCCCTCTGCTGCTTCACACTGCTGGGGCCTGCTCGGTCCATCTCACCACTCGCTCCTTCACTAGTATATCTGCGCACAAATGTGTGACCGAGAGCAGTCTGCTGCCTTGGGCCCTCAGTGCGTCCATCCACTGCTACTCCACACCTGGGATCCACCCACAGCTGCCTGTGTACCTGGGTGGAGCGCCTGGGTTGGTCTGGTGGATCTTTTTTGCCAGACCCCACTCTGCTGCTGGCTCTGCCCCTCTTATCGATTTGGCTGAAGGGTTGGTTGTTGTCAGACTTCCATATAGTTCAATTTTCTGTGGTTTGGCTGCATTTTTGTTGCTAAAACTTTATTGTTTTTAAACTTGGTTGTGAGAGAAGGCAGAGTGTTTCCACCTATGCCTCCATCTTGGTGGAAGTCCTAAATGAAAGGTCTTAAAATACGTAAATTCTCAGGAGAATATTTAAAGGGAAAATAAATTTATAAGTTTAAAACTTTGAAGAAATGAGAATTAAGGAGGTTGTGAAAAATATTCCTTTGAGGATGTGTGCATAGAGAAGGGGAAAAAAGGCAATGTCCTGAGAATGGCTTAGGTATTTAGAAGATTACCCAAGAGGGACAATTATTTTTCTGCTCTCATGATGAAGTTCTCCTGACCCACACATGACACATGTAAAGGAGACTGTGACAGCCTAGTCGAGAGTGGATGAGCGGCTGGACAGGTTCTGCTCAAACTTCAGTCCTGTCTTCATTGTATGATTCTGAAAGTCACTTACCTCTTGAAACCTTCACCTATGAGATGAGCACCATAACTCTTCTCATCATAAAGGATTATAATGAGGACTAAATGGCATAATAGTTGTGAAATTATTAACAAAGTGACAGACATATAGTAAGTTCCCAATAAATTGACTTTACCCTCAGCATCATCACCATGGTGTGCCAGCCACATTCTGTTCATCTTATCTCTTTTGAAATGAAAACATCTAGTCACAGTTGTGCCACATATTGCTCTGTACTACAGGGGTCCCCAACCCCTGGGTCATGAACCCTTATCAGTCCCTGGCCTGCTAAGAACCAGGCTGCACAGCAGGAGGTGAGCAGTGGGCTAGCAAGCAAAGTTGCCTGAGCTCCACCTTCTGTTCCCCTGACCCCTCAGTCCAAGGAAAAATTGTCTTGCACAAAACCAATCCCTGGTACAAAAAATGCTGGTGACCACAGCTCTACTGTACCCACACCCTATCCCTGTTTCTCCAAAATTGGCTAGTTCAAGGTTAAAAGGGAAGAAACTCAGATTTAATGCTTTCTGGTAACCATTGATTAAAAAACAAACCTAGATAAAAACAGCCATTTTCATATGCAGTAGCATATAAACTTCAGTTTAGCATTGGTCTTTGACAACACAAAGCATCTTTGTGCCTTAGCACCAATTATTCCGACTTTGAAAAAACATTCCTTATTTACCTAGAGGAGACAAGCTTGATAAACCCATTTTCATACATTCTACTTATTTAGAACACTGTGCATACAGCTTCTACAGTAGATCCTTGAACAATGCAGGTTTGAATTGCGTGGGTCCAATTATATGTGGATTTTTAAAATAAATACTAGCACAGTTCTATAAATGTATTTTATCTTCATTATGTTCTTTTTTAAAAATATATTTTATTGGTTACCTATTACAGCTGTCCCATTTTCCCCAACTTCACTCCCTTCTGCCCTGCAAACCACCTCCTACACACATTCTCCCCTTTACTTCATGTCGAAGGGTTATACATATAAGTTCTTTGGCTTCTACATTTTCTATGCTATTCTTACCCTCCCCCTGTCTGTTTTCTGTGTACCATCTATGCTACTTATTCTCTGTACCTTTTCCCTCTTTTCCCACTCCCACTCCCCTGTTGATAACCCTCCATGTGATCTCCATTTCTGTGGTTCTGTTCCTGTTCTAGTTGTTTGCTTTGTTTTTGTTTTAAGTGTGGTTTTTAATAATTGTGCGTTTGCTGTCATTTTACTGTTCATATTTTTCATCTACTTTTTCTTAGATAAATCCTTTTAATATTTCATATAATAAAGGCTTGGTAATGATGAACTCCTTGAACTTGACCTTATTTCAGAAGCACTTTATCTGCCCTTCTAAATGAAAGCTTTGCTGGATAGAGGTGCTTTGGATGTAGGTCCTTGCATTTCATGAATTAGAATATTTCTTTCCAGCCCCTTCTTGCCTGTAAGGTCTCTTTTGAGAAATCAGCTGACTGTCAGCTGACAATTATCATTTGTAGATAATTGTCTCATTTTTTCTTGCTGCTTTTAGGATTATCTTCTTCATTTTAATCTTGCATAATGTAATTATGATGTGCCTTGGTGTGTTCCTCCTTGGACCCAACTTCTTTGGGACTCTCTGAGCTTCCTGGACCTCCCGGAAGGCTATTTCCTGTGCCAGAATAGGGAAGTTCTCCTTTATTATTTGTTCAAATAACTTTTCCACTTGTTGCTCTTCCTCTTCCCCTTCTGGTACCCCTATAATTTGGATGTTGGAACATTTATAGATGTCCTGGAGGTTCCTAATTTTTGTTTCTTCATTCGTTTCCAGTTGGATGTTGCTATCTTCTTTCTGGTCCACAGTGTTGATTTGAGTCCCAGTTTTCTTCCCATCTACTGCTTCCTTGTACATTTTCCTTTTTTAACTTAGCATAGCTTTCACTTTTTTCATGTAATTTTTGATCAAATTCAACCAATTCCATGAGCATCCTGAGTACCAGTGCTTTGAACTGGCATCTGATAGGTTGGCTACTTTTTCGTCACTTAGTTGTATTTTTTCTGGAGCTTTGATCTGTTTTTTTATTTGGGCCATTTTTTTTTTGTCTTGACAAACCTGTTATGTAGTGAGGGGTGGAGCCTTAGGTATTCACCCCAGAGGGGTAACCCAGGTTGCTTCATTGTGATGCTATTTGTGGGGGAGGGGTCTGAGAGGGATTCTTCCGGCTTTCAGTCACTTCTGCTTCCCAGAAGCAAATTGGGCCTTTCTGGTGCTGATTCCCTGGTGGGTTGGCTTTTGTACATTTTAGGATCCTGTGGGTCTCTCCTGTGCAGGTGGGAATTTTTCCCACTGCTGCTTCAACACCCACAGGTGTTTTTAATCTGAGGTTTGAGGCTTTTTTTTCCTGGTGCTGGAGCTGTGGGTTGTGAGGTCTGTCTTGTTCCCCAATTGTTCCTCCAGGTTTATCTGAGGCGAATGTGGGAGTCCCTGCTCCACCAGTCACCACCACAGTCTTGCCAGCCAGCTGCAGCCTTGCCTACCCTGCTCAATAATCTGGCACTAGGTGCACCAGCCAGAGCCTTGCTCACCCAGGTCCTCCAGCCACTGTCTTGCACAGTTCTCTCCTCATGCCCATCTCTACCTATCCTAACAGTCTGGATGAGTGTGTCTCCTTCAACTCCTTGGTTGTTGGACTTCCATACAGTTAGATTTTCTGTCAGTTCTAGTTGTTTATTGTTTTTAAATCGATGTCCTTCTTTTGGTTGTGTGAGGAGGCACAGTATATCTACCTATGCCTCCATCTTGGCTGGAAGTCCTTCTCTTTCTTATGTTCTTTGTGACATTTTTTTCTCTTCCTTAATTTATTATAAGAGTGTATTTCTAGAAATACATCTAAAATACAAATATGTGTTAATCAACTATTTACATTATCTCTAAGGCTTCCAGTCAACAAAGTTATACATGGGTTTTTGAACACACAGAGAAGTGGTACCCACAACCCCATGTTGTTTAAGGGCCAACTGCATTCTACTCCCTTTCTGGGGTAGCAAACTTGAAGAGATAATTCTGCTGATAAGAAAATTGAATTTTTGAGCTGGGACCTCAGAAAGGACTGTTTTACTCTGAGGTCTGACCATCTAGTTGTTGTCTTCTCTCAGATCTTAGGTCTTGTTCTGACCTCTTCTTGTCATGATTTCCTAGATAAGGAAAGCAGTGATTCAGAACTCTCCTTCGACATGTTCACTGCACACTCTCGAGCAAGGTTGCTTCAAGAAAGACAACTGACAAAAGAAATAATCCCAGTGAAAATTTCAAACAGAAGAGGGAAGCCATCCAACTTTCATTATCAAAGAAGTAGAGGCCCAGAAGATCATGTTGGCGGAGAGAGAAGGGCAATCTTAAGACCCAAACCAATGTTTCATGCAGTAGATGAAGAGCATGAATCTGGAGGAGAGAGTGAAGAAGAGGCCTCAGCAGCTGGGTCCAGATGGTCATCTGAGCACAGACACAGAAGGGAACACCACAGATCCCATAGTCCGTTGCTCCAAAGGAAATAGTTTTATTGTGCACAAGATTGTTTCTGAGCTTCTCAAGAGTTCACCTTCCTATTGTTGTAAAAGAAGGATTTTTAGAATTCTAAAGAAAACTCTTGAGTTTACTTTTCTTTTTGAAGCTATTAGACATGCATCTATAAGAAGCAAGGAGATTTTTTGAAAGACTAGGAGTACTAACTTTCAGCTTGTGCCATATTCTTAGCTGGTGCACTTTGTAGATAATTCCCTATGAGTGACAGATATTCATGACCACAGAAATTGTTCACTAAGTATTTCTAAGTGCGTGTGATTCATTTACTTTATTGAGGTACAATGTGATTTGTATTTATCTTAACAATATGCATGTGCAACTTATAATCGAAGTAGTCCTAGGAGGAGTCTAGAAATATCCTGATCCAACCCCATGAGGTTACAGATGAGGACATCTTGCCCAAGGTCAAGTGGTGAGTTACTGGATTCACAAGCTAATTAACCTCCCTCTCAAGAGAATGCTTTTGATTTTGATTTTGATATGCACTATTCAATAATTATATGTTTGGGAGGAAATAAAATTTGTCATAACATTACTACATTTAATCAGTAGCAACAATAGATGTATGTGATACAGACTAAAGAATTAATCTGCAAACAATGGACTTGTCTATTTTGTAATTGGAATATTTATTTAAAAAACAAATATTAGAAACAAAATAGCCATAAACAGACTTTAAATATCAATGACATAAATAACATGTATTTATGGGCACTTATAAGGTGTGATATTTTCTCCTAATGATTGAAACTATTTTCTAATTTAATTTTTCATTTTCATTGTCCCCAAACTTGACCTTGAACCTCACACTCCAGCTCATCAACTTTGCTAGATGACTTTATCTTTTCCTTCTCTTCCTCTTCTCTTTCTTATGACCACCTATATATTTAACACTTATTAAATAACATTTATTGTCCCAAATGGCTAATCTATAGTAATCAGTTAACCACAGTGTTCTTTATTGTTGCTACTTTTGACATCTCTTATCATCCCCAACTGATTTAATAGTATACATCTTTAAAGGTCATGATCCAATATAACCAGCTCCTAGACCTACCTTGATTTTCTTAATTAGAAGGGATCAAGTGGTCCTCCTCCTTCTTGTGCCCCACACCACTTTGGATGTGTTATGAGACTTATCTGGGAATTATATTACATGTGTGTGTGTGTCCACTTCTATGGTCCAAGAATGGGAAGGACAGTTTATTCCTTTTTAATTTTATACATTTATCAGTTATGACTTTTATCTCCAACATTTACTTCCTATTTGCTTCAGCTTTTGTTGTTATAATGTTATATATGGTAGATTCTCTATAAATGAAGTGATGATGACATTTTAGAGCTGAAAATATATTAGAGAAGATGTGAGGTATTCTTATCTTCTAGGTGATAAAAAATGAAGTCTTGGGAAGGTACCTGATGCCAGTTCAGGGTCTGCTTCCCCTTGAAGGACATGGGCTTGTCCTCTAGTATAACCCATAGGTGCCATTAACTGCTGAAAAATGTATGACTTGACACACATTTATAATTTGTGAGTGACATTCACTCAGGTTCCTGCTGCAGTGGTAGAAATGGCAATCAAAGGAGTCATTTGTCTTTCTTCTGAATCTGAAATATAAGACTGCTTCTAAGTTGTCTAAATATTTGGATTTTAATAAAACTGTATACTACCAAGTAATAATAATCAGTGCAAAGGAATGGAAGCACATATAAAACCTAGAGATCTTCATGTTTTTTATTTAAATGAACCGACAATCAAAGCCACAGAAAAAGCCTATTAACCCTAAGAGTGAGTCATTATCCTTAAGCTATGAATGAAGATATAGAGACTGAGAGACATCATGAGAAATCATCTTTCCAAATCTAAATGCAAAACTGATTCTTGAGAGGTGTAGAATTCCTGTGTCACTTACTGGACACAGGAATACCACATAATACCAGAAATCCAAATTGTAAAGGCCCCTTCCCAGAGTAGCTATCAAGGTCTAAGGATTAATAGGAGTCATCTAACTCTACTGTTTTTCTTTGAGATCTTGGTTTCATTTTGGAGAGGGGTAGTAGGATTTAGTGAGTAGATTGGAACCTTCTCCTTTAACTAACAAAAGCCATAAAGGAGTTGTTTTAGCTGAGGCCTTTGCTCACCTAGACACTGTCTGGCCAGGACTTCCCAAGTCTGGGAAGTAGCCCTGGAGCTCTTGCATAAAAGGTAAGGCAGGTTAAAGGTAGCTCTGACAGGCTTAGAGAGCTGCTGGTGGAAATGGCCTCTTTTGTTTATCATCTAAGATTGTTTCAAAATGCAGTGTTATATGATCTTCATTTCATTAGTCACTCTGGGGAATCAGTTGAGGGTATAACAGGTACCTGAGGAGTACTCAAGGGTATCAGTTTTCCATGATGATTTTTTTCCCCAGCAGGCAACACACAGTTCAGCAGAGAAAGTTTCCTCTTGAGTGTTGAGGAAGATCTGATTCTTCTTCCTAACTCATCTCAGGAAGCAGATGGAATCACACAAAAGGGGTTCTCCTAGACCTGGCTTCTGGTCCACTGAGCAGTCCACCTTCTTTACCTTTTCTGCCAGCGGCAGAATTTGCCCTTTTATCTCAAACCTCAAAATATCAGACACAAACCCCACAAAAATTTTAATTTTCCTCTGTAGGTTTTTTTTGCTTCTCCCCCTCCCAAGCTTATATATATATTGCTAAGTTGATTGGTTTTGGGTTTCTATGAATTTTGAAGTTGAGAAAAGTAGCATTTCCTTGTATTTATCCTATATAGAGACTTTCTACCTTAAGGGTTTCCATGTATTTTCTGGAGTTTGGGATGTGGTAAATTTTCTTACTCATCTTTCCTGGCCTTGATATGATGCCGTGGGCACCTCCTTGTCTTTACTCAATCTGCTTAAAGAGAAACCTTGGCCATTGGTTGTAGAAAGGGGTCTGCTGTGGCAAAGTTGAGATGAGATTCTGGACACTTTATTATGTTTTTTTCATGCTTTCCTCTTGCTCCTGGAGGTCATATATTTCTGTGTTTCTTTTGGGAAAATTAAAGGGTCATGGGAGGTAGGGCTTGAATTACTGCCTGAATTCAGTGATGCATTGATATATTACAGATGACAACTATGGCAAGTGTGTTGCAGAACTCAGGTCTTAAGCTTAAAGTGTTGGATTCAGCCTGCAGGGAAACCCCCACCAGACTTCCTTACCTGTTTGGATGGCTACCACTGAGATAATTTAGATTTTTGAATCAATATAATTAATTCAGAGCTCAGGTTCTATAGTCAGATCAATTGTAACTGCGGGACCTTGGGCAACTTAATTGTCAACTCTAAGCTGAAATTTACCAATTAACATTTTAAGGTATTAATTTTATCTGCATCATAAAATGATAATAAAGATTAAATAAGGTAATATATATATATAATTCTTACATGTAGCTTAGGGTTTGTTTTATGGTTGGAGAGGAATCAGTTGTAATTATTTAGGCTAAAAATATGTATAAATGAGAAAAGATATACATTGATTGGATAATATGATGAGGCATAAATAATAGAAATATGAGACTTTTCTGAGAGGCCATTTGATTGTCAAGAGGATACTGGGGCCCTGGTGAGAGAATGTGACAGCAGTAGAGAGCACTGAAAAACATGATCACATCTCTACCTGGCTATGTATCTGTTTATCAGTCAATAGCAAAACCAGAGGTAAAATCTGAATATGGATTCATGTTTTTCAATCACTGCTTGTTTATTTTTATGCCATTCCCTCAAATTCATTATATTATTCTCCTAGTTTGGGGACAAATTCTAATCATAGCATATTTTCAAAGAGACAACAAACTTAGAAACCCTGCTTCTGTATATCTTGATAGGTGCCTAGTGAAGAATGAAGACATTTTTTGTTGAGGAAACTTTCAGTAGGATTTAATTTCTCAGCTTCAAATCTTTTCTGTAGGAGATCTTCCCTCTAAAACAGTGATTCTTTTAACATGAATATTTACTAGAGAGATAAGTATTCAAGAATTTTTCAGCATGGAATAAATAATTTCTAGTTATGTTTCATAACTTTCTAACATTAGGAAAAAACATTTTTTATAAAGTCGATAAATATGTGTTGGTGTTATCTAAGGTTTTTGAATGCATATGCATCCACAAATAAGATGGGTGGTTTTTTCAGATTTAATTTTCTCCTGACTAAACTATCAAGTATCTTCTTTCTAACTCCTCCTGAGAAAATCCAGGGGGGGAGACAGAAAGCTTCTTTTTAGGACATCAGTCATTGTTAATTGTTAATGGAGCCATAAACCAAGGGGAATGAAAGAGATGCCTGCATCAGTGCTAGTCTCTCCTTTAATCAGTAAGAGGTATGTTGTTTCATCTGTGCACAATATTTGATTAATAAATTATTTTTCTTTCTGAGACTGTAATGAGCTTCCAAGCCAGGGGTGCTCAAGTAAGTGTGACACATTAGAAATAAAAATTTCTGTTGCCTGGACCTGGCTGGTGTAGCTCAGTGGACTGAGCATGGTGGGCCTGCGAACAAAAGGATCGCTGTTTGATTCCCAGTCAGGGCACATGCCTGGGTTGCATTACAGTCCCCAGCAGGGGACCCAGGAGAGGCAACCATACATTGATATTTTTCTCCTTCTCTCCTTCCCTTCCCCTCTAAAGATAAATAAATAAAATCTTTTAAAAAGCTATAGGTATTTTGTACAGTGGAGTGTTTAATACAAAGAAAATGTTATTTAAAAAAATTCTGTTGCCTGGCCTTCTTCAAGTTACAGTTTGTTCGACAAAGGAGCTGGAACCATGTTGTCAAGTGAACCAAGGTGATCACTATTTGGTTTCCAGGTGCAGCAATGCAGATCTCCAATTGAACTGAGGAGTCCTAAAATCAAGGTACATAATTCTGTGTTCTGGAAATCAGTCTTGAGTAGAACAGTAATAATAGGCAATACTTATATAGTGCTTACTATATGCTAGGCATTATTTAAAATGCTTTACATACATAATGCCATCTCACCCCATCTTAAATGAAAAAAGTCAGGTTTAGAGAGATTAAGTAACAGGACCAAGGTCACCCTGCTTCCAAGGAAGGCCTTAGAAATCAGGTTTGTCTGGCTCATAACCACCGACCTCAACTTTCTTCCTAAGAAGAATTTGGAATTTTGTAAGTGACTCAAATCCACATGGTTATCTTTCTCACTTGAAAAAACCAGTGGGGAGAAACAGAGAAGCTCCATCCTAATGACAAATAAATACAGTACATGAGGATGTGATTTTAAAAATATGTTCTACAAACACAATGGATGACCCAAAATGTAGATGATGATTAGGACTGATCATTTCTATCATTAATACTATTTTTTGAGGCAAATAAAATGTTTCGTATCTGATTTCATGTATTTGTTTTATTAAATTTATTGGGGTAACATTTATTAATAAAATTATATAAGATTTAAGTGTACAGTTCTTTAATATATCATCTATGTATTTCATTGTGTCAATTATATGCTGTTTCCAAAGAACTTTGTTCTTGGTTTCCAAATGGGGTCTGCAAGCAGACAATCTCAACACTCCTGGGCCGTGCTGGAACACTGCCCTATGCAATTTACTTATGAACAAAATATAAACCACAACCCACTAACAGGGTGGAATAGGGTAAACAAATGACTTTGACTATTGAAGCATCTGTATAATGATGAATTAAAATTCTTGATACGCACTGTACCATTAATTGAAAACATAGTATGTGCCTGACTTTTTACTTATAAGTTTACATATATGTTTTTAAAATTGTAATCAATCTTATGAAGTGATTATTACTGTGGGGGCAACTTTGCCAACAAGTCCCCCCATCTGCCACTGATGAAAGTGAAACTACCAAGACATGATCTGCTTGGGGATGAGAGGTGGTCAATCTCTCAGAGGAGAAAGACCAAGAACCCCTTCTTCAACTGCTTTTATTAGGTTGTAATACACAGGAATACAGGTAAAGCTTCTCAATACAGGCAAAGCTTATCAGGTGGCAAGGATCGAACAATAGATAACATTTCAAAGAAATCTGAGGGCTTAATCTGAGTCAGTGTCTGTCAGGTAATGGGGTTGCAAAAACTTTGCGAGACATACTTATTTCCTGCTCGGACCCTTATCATATGAATGAAAACACTCTTAGCAAAACAGACTTCACAGGACTTTAGGAATTCTTTCTTATGCCCAGAACCCACTCTAGCCTGCAAGGAGCTGCACTGCCTTCCCAGTAATAAGTTTTTAGGTTTAAGTGGATTAAAGCCAGGAAGCGCTTCTCCTAGACAGAAATGGGGACTCAGTCTATGTCAGAATAGCCAGGGGGCAAGGGTCCATCACTCCCTCTTTGTTGCAGCCCCCTGAGTCCTTCCATGATGGGCTCCCAAGTGATCATGTCTGGCTTAGGTTACCCCTCCTCTGAGGGGTCTAACCCATCTCTGACTAACTGACCAAGTGTTGGGGGCAGGGAATGAAGCAGAAGCAGCATTGCTGCTAGAGACAAGCTTTGTCTCCTGAGTGGCTTGAAGTCTGGAGGTGGTTCACTCAGCCTTACCATGGGGGGCAGTTACAACTCCTGAAACCAGGCAGAGCAGTTCCCAACATATTACAGATGAAGAAAACAAGCCTCAGAAAAGCTTTTACCAAGGACACATAGCCATCCAAGTTTTCATCAAGGACACACAAATGGCAGTATGTTTATTTACATTTAGAGATCATACCCTCATAGCTACTAGAAATAATACACTGAGTAATATAACAAAATGAATATGCTTTGCGTCACCATCAATTGAATTTTTAAAATCCCCATACAACCAACTGTATGGGAAAACATATTTGCCAATGATACCTCAGACAAAGGTTTAATCTCTAAAATATACAAAGAACTTACAGGACTCCACTCTAAGAAGACACCCAACCCAATTAAAAAATGGGAAAAGGACTTGAACAGACACTTCTCCAAGAAGGACATACAGAATATCCAGAGACACATTGAAGAGATGCTCAATACTTTTAGCTATCAGAGAGATGCAAATTAAAACCACAATGAGATACCACTTTACACCTGTCAGGATGGCTATAATAAACAAAGCAACAAACAACAAATGTTGGAGAGGGTGTGGGGAAAAGGGGTCCTTAGTTCACTGTTGGTGGGATTGCAGACTGGTACAACCATTATGGAAAACAGTATGGAATTTTCTCAGAAAAATAAAAATCTACCTGCCTTTTGACCCAGCAATTCCACTGCTAGGATTATATCCTAAGAATCCTAAAACATCAATATCAAAGAACCTATGCACCACAATGTTCATAGCAGCACAATTTACAATAGCCAAGAGCTGGAAGCAACCTAGGTGCCCATCAGTAAATGAATGGATCAAAAAATTGTGGTACATATACACAATGGAATTCTATGCAGCAGAGAGAAAGAAGGAGCTCCTACCCTTTGCAACAACATGGATGGAACTGGAAAGCATTATGCTGAGTGAAATAGGCCAGGTGTTGAAAGACAAATACCATATGATCTCACCTTTAACAGGAAGCTAAACAACAAAACAAACAAGCAAGCAGAAAAAAAAAGGACACTGAAATAGAGAACAAGGGGACAGCGACCAGAGGGGAGAGGGGAGGGAATTTAAGGGGAAAAAAGGGGGAGGAATTCAGAGGAACAAGTATAAAGGATACAGGGACGATAACTAAGGGGGGTGGAAATGGGAGGGAGGTGGGGAGCACGGGGTAGGGTGGGCTGGGATAAGAGAAATAGACAAAAAACTGTACTTGAAAAAAATTTAAAAAACATTAAAAAAATAAAATCCCTTCACTAAATCAAGTGCTAGTTTTAGTCTTGCTTAGGCACCACTGCCACAGTTTTTTTTTTCTGTTTTGCTTGATGTTCCAGTGCTTTTTAAGGCTAACAGTGACTGATTCAGGAGTCTGCATCTTGCAATAAGTATAATGAAGTGAAAACATTCACTACAGTTGATTTCTTTAAATGTCAATATTTTTATTGCTATTGAATCTTATCTTTAAACATGGAGATACTATCAAGTCAGAAACTTTCAGAATAAGGGGTCATGTAGCACCATGACCCTGGAGAAGTTTAAAAGGAAGGAAGGCCCAACAGTGTTTGATTTATTTTGTTTCTTTACAGGAGTTTTTCTGGGTACCAAGAGCAAGTGAAACTCAGACTGTAGGTTTCACTGGTGTACTGTTTCACCAGTGGAGTCTGCGCTTGTTTGGAGTTTGTGATTGTCCTGGACATGGTTCAGGAGGCAGCCCTGTTATCTAACTATGCCATCTTTAAAAGGGGTTGTGTGCATACGGAGAAGGGAATGCCCCAAAAATTATAAATGCAGACGTTAGAAAAACAACTATTCAGAAACAGGAAAAGAGAATCAATGTATTGTCTTCCTAAAAGGGGATATTCTTAAAACAATGGGACAATAGAACAGGTCGTCACCCAGAAAAACGCCCATGGGAAAGTCGTGCAGAGCAGAGAATTATAAACCAGCAGATTTAAGAGCATGTGCTTCAGCAGACAATGGTTGCTGTACTCCACCCACACCCCTGGAGCTGAATTTCAAGTTCTGAATTGAGACAATAAAGCTGAAATTTCTGCAGTTTTAATCCACAACACAGGGAGCATCAGGCAGTCTCTG